GGTGTTCAGCCTTGGAGAAGCCCTTCTCACAAACACGACATACCAAGGCCTTGGTCGTGGGTGTAGTAGCAGTGGGCGAGGATGTGGATGTGGATGTGGTTTGTGGCATAATGGCCAGGGGGAGGGGGTGGGAGGGGGGATGAGGGGGGATTGTGGAAGAGATTGCTTGGTAGTAGCCAAGGCAGCGCAGTCCAAGTAACTAAAGAAAGATATGCTGTATCACATCTGCACCCACAATTGAGTAGGCAGCAACAATCAACTAAGGTAGTCGAGGTAGTCGAAGGAGCCAGCCTTCCACAACAATAGTATGATGACGAGAGACCAGAGGGGCCTTGGAACAGGGATAGAGATGATCGATCGTGGATAGAAAGAATAGGCGCGGAGAGGAAAAAGTGTGGGGCAGAAGAAAGTGGCAAATAAGCAAACTGACCTTTCCCAACTGAGCCAGGCACGTGGAGAGGTATAGTATGTGCATTACCGGTCTGATACCGTATGGTAATACCGCCATTCTACCAGACCTCAGGATCTCTGCCCCAAGAACAATCCCGTCCTCACTTACCGATGGAAACGAATAGTACGAACTACTGGTAGTAATCGGCTAACTCCAGACTCCACACTGGCTTCTCCATACTTTCCACTCTTTGCTTCTCCGGCATGTCTTCCCAAGTTCCCAAATTGCGATAAGTCCATCCTCATGACTCTTCGTCATTACTAATTCAATTACTAGCTGGTCATTTAGACTGACCTGGACGAGCTTGATGGGAAATCAAAAAAAGGTCGAGACTGCATGGCCCCCTTACATCCATGCTGACAGCCGCTGCATAGGTGCGTGGAGTTCTCTTCCGGCCGAACTCGCAGGTACCACACCCCACAATTCCTCTTGCTTTCCAGAAATACCTACCGGCGTCAATTTGATCGACTTGTTGTCTGCCACCATTGCTATGATCATCACCACCATCATCGTCATGCAGACTCCGATCCTGCCTCTGGTTCGAAGCTGAATGGATCACAAATGCGGAGTATCTTATTCTTGGTGGAAAACAAAAGGCGAACCGAAGAAGGATTAGCCGAGATCAGAAGGCAAATCAACACATTTTCCCATGACTCCTCCCACTCAGGTCGGCATCCACTCCAAAGAACTTATCCCGTCCCGGTATGACCTAATGGGTCCCTTGCTGGAGAAAGGCCTTGCAAAGTTGGGTTGGGGTTCTCCGGAAAACCCGGACTCGGGTCCTCGGTTATGCTTTGGATTTGATAGCACACTCAGTTCTTCGGTCCAGCCAATGAACTATGCCGTACTTCGAGGGTGACAGACCGAGTCGCCCATTGCCGTTACTGCGACTCGCCATTTTGTGGGTTCCCCTCCGCATATCCCCCAATACTTGCCCCAGTAGTAAGCGGGACTCGTCATTCGGTTGGCTCTGCCCCGGGGAGGAGATTTGTTGACCCCAGCGATAGGTCGAAGCCCCAGACTGCGTGGAGCCTCGCCCTGAATTTCTTTCCTCTGACAGGAGCACTGTGAACTGTTCGCATAACCCTGTGAAATTCTGGCTCATTCCTTGTAGGCCTCAGCAAATCGCTCTTTCACTCTCTTCATTAACCTGTCACCCACTGTTCAGTCTCCTAAAAGGATTTTCAAGAATCCAGTGACCGATACTCTTCAGCACCAAATCAACTGTCCACCCGTTTCCTTACCATAAACATAGGGTCTTCCATCGAGATGACTGGGTCACACGAGATGCAGCCGTCTCGCACGGCTGTTGACCCCCAAACACCTGCCAAAGAGGATGTCGATTTTGTGGAGAGCACCGAGTCTGGCATTCCCTCAACGTATGCCGATATTGCAGCATCACGTCTCTCCAAAGCTCATCGTGATTATCTGCTCGAACGCCATGGCACGTTGGAGCTCGACCCTATGCCTAGCATGGATCCCGCGGATCCCTATAACTGGCCATCATGGAAGGTCAACATCCCGCGATTAACTGGCATCTGACTATGAGTGAACCATTGACTGATGGATTGTTATCCTGCAGAAAATCGTCAACCTTCTTCTAGTTGCATTCCACGCGTGCATGGGAACTTTCGCTGCTGCAGGCATCATTCCCGCCTATGAGAAGTGAGTTCCCCAATGATCCGAAGACATCCGGGTTACTAAAAGATGTTCAGGATATCGACCGAGTACGGTGTTTCTATCAATGATGCCAGTTACATGACATCCATCCAAATTGCAGTCCTAGGCGTGGCACCTTTGATCTGGAAGCCCCTGTCGAATCGATGGGGACGTCGCCCAGTCTTTTTGCTATCCCTGATCTGCAGTCTCGTCTGCAATATAGGGTGTGCTGAAAGCACAAGTTATTCGTCTCTTGCAGTCTGTCGTGCCCTGCAAGCATTCTTCATCTCCCCAGCGTCGGGTAAGCTTCGCTAGTATTGCTCCGATATAAGAGAAAATTAGACAAGCTAATAGACGCGGAAGCTATCGGAAGTGCTGTAGTGATGGAGACAACATTCAAGAAGGACCGCGCTCGGTACATGGGGATCTGGACACTGTTGGTTACTCTGGGAATTCCAAGCGGTCCTTTCATCTTCGGATTCGTTACGTATCGGATAGGTTACCAATGGATCTACTGGATCTTGGCCATGGTAAGTTCCTCAGTGATCGCATAAAGCCCATAGAGACGATTGGCGAATGGCTGACAGATTTAATCTCGGATCGAACAGATCAACGGAGGTCAATTCATCCTCTACCTCTTCTTCGGCCCAGAAACGCGGTATGTTGGGGGTGATTATGACACCAGTAAGCCCGCGTGGGTGCGAGAGTATGTTCAGCTGCGACGGATTGACCCCACACCTTTGTCGCCATGGGACTTCATTAGACCGCTGGGCATGTTCACGCACCCTTGTGTTGCCATCCCAGCAGCTGCATACGCCATGATCTTCTGTTTGAGTAACGTCATGACCACGGTTGAAGTACCGTCCTTGCTGCAGACCAAGTTTGACTTGAACGCCGAGCAACTGGGTCTCCAGTTCCTTGGCCCCATCGTTGGCTCCCTCATCGGTGAACAGCTGGGCGGTGTCTTGTCCGACCGTTGGATGAGACTGCGGGAAAAGAGGATTCATCGCAAGCCTCAGCCCGAGCATCGCCTTTGGCTCAGTTATATCGGCTTCCTATGCTCAATTGTGGGTCTCGTCGTTTTCCTGGTTTGCACCGAGCAGTCCAAGGAGGGCCACTGGAACATCCGGCCTGTTATTGGCATTGCCATCTGTGCCGGTGGTAACCAGATCGTAACCACCGTCCTCATCACATATGCCGTAGACTGTTATCACACCGAGGCGGCCAGCATCGGAGTCTTCATCACGTTCGTCCGTCAAATCTGGGGGTTCTTGGGTCCGTTTTGGTAGGTCGCAATCATGGTCATCTTCTGTTGCTGCGCAAGCAGATACTAATCGAGGCCGTCCAGGTTCCCATCCATGTTCGAACACGTTGGAGTTGCCGCCAGTGCCGGAGTCTGCGCCGCTCTCATCATGGGTGTCAGTTTCATCCCGATCGCTCTCGTTCACTGGCAAGGACGATCCTGGCGTCCGGCCACAAGCGAATAAATCGTCTCCATCATTCTTTGGCTATACCGGACACGACTCTCAAGACGGCATGACTTGCGGAATATTGAAGCGCTAGAAGTTTAGAAGTTTAGATATAGATCGGATCTCGAAGGCCAATCCTCGCGATTGCAGGGTTGGGCGGAAATTTGTATATAGAGCATAGATAGGCAACGAACAAGGAATGGAATCACCATAGAGCACGATCAAGAAAAAGAAAAAACAAAGTCACTCTTCATAGAGTGTATCAGAAAAAAAAAATTGACCTTTGATGATCTTTCCATAGATCAACGATATACACGTGCCAACCGGATAAAAGAAAAGAAAACCCAAGGGGAGAGAGAAAGAGGAAAAAGAAGGAGGGGAGAAAAGACTTTATCCCGGAGCCTTATAGGAGAAGATCGGGGACCCAGCTTCATCTGGCAAAGACTACCAGAGATAGAGTAATATAATTTGTCTTGATCAACTCCTCCCGGAGTACTCCAGGCGTGGTTTTTTTCCCGCCGACCTTAACCGGCATCAAACCACCTACCATCGGCAAAGCGAAAAAGATAGGGCCAAAGTCAGGCCACGCTTACAGTACAGGTGGTTTTTAGCGCCGGACCGGCTGGCCGATCAACAACTTCTCGGGTTGGTTGTTGGCGGGCTCGGGAAGAACCACCGGCAATAGTGGTTGTGTTCTTACCTTCATAACCTTTCAAGTACTAGGCGGGTTCACTTTTGAATCATATGATGTTGAAATTCATGAAGTGGTTCGATACTATGTGCATCCATCTGGACAATGTAAAGATTGCGAGAAGAGTTGCCGTTGTTGATCATCTGAGGTTAGCTGGTTGGTTCCGAATACTGAGGCATGTTCCGCACCTCTCCGCCTTCGAGCAAGCTCAAGCTCAAATTCAAGCTCCCGATTTTGCCCTGTCTGTCTACTGGTCTGCCAACGGGTATGAGATCTCCCGCCGGATGTTTCCTCAACCCCTTGCAGCAGCAGTGCCTGTCATTTCCGACAACATGCAGGATGCCATGCAGTATGGACCTCTTGGGATTTCTAAAAATGAGAGGTAGTCTGAAACTATATGATCTGTGGTCGAACTATACAATGCTATCGTGACCAAGCTTTGTAAGGGGGAGTTAACTGATGCAGTGAGTATTATGCGGCTGCCTGTTGTGGTCTCTGAACAATGTCGAACTATTGAGGCCCTGTGCTTGGACCTCTGTGGGGACGAGGGTGAGTCAGCGTGGGGTGTTGTGGGGTGATCGGGAAGACGACTGGGTGAAGTTTTGGGAACGGCGCCAACTGGCATACGAGTACATCACAGCAGCAGTCGGGTAGTTAGAGCAATCATCTCTTGTAAAGAACTGCAGTTTTGGACTTCTGGCTACGAAAAAAAAAAATGTAGAGACATACATATGAAATTCAATTTGCTGGCTGGAAACGCCTGTCCTAATGACCATGTCCAGGGAAGACCTGAGCAAAGCGCAGTCCCAAGGGCCCGCGAGTGTACTGTACAAACATCCGTTGCTTCATACTGTGCATCGACCAAGCATCAACTAGAATCAGATAGAGGCTGACTAGGTCCGGCTCAACCGGAGCCTAGGGATAGTTACAGAAGTAAGAGAACAACTTTGGCTTTTGAAGGTCTCACCAAAACACAAAACGAATGAGAAAGGGAATTAGATGTAACCCGAGAGGTATCCAGCGAAAATCAAAAGTCTGGTGGAGGTTGCGTTTGTCACATTTGTTTTAAGCTGAGGCGCTGATAGCCGCCATCGAGCCAGAATGCGAAAATACCTGGGACTGTCCGGTCCCTTCCAACTTAGTCAACGACAATAGGCTCCTCGGTCAGCCGCTTGCGCTTTTTCTTGGATTTTTGGTACACTTTCTTGCTCTCAGAGTTCGGTGTTGACTCCAATCCAACCTGGGATGAGATGGAAAACGGTGAGCTAGCGCGTGACTGACTTCCCCTTTCACCGTCAGAAATTGCAGATACACGAGGTCGCTTCTTGTCCTGCACCGAGCGTCTTGAGCTGCCCGAGCCCTGCAACGAATTCGCTACGGCAGGAAGTGGTGGTTGAGACGCGGCATCCGAGCCTTCTCGAACAGAGGAGAAGTGATTCGCAGACTCTTCTAGTTTTTTGACCTTCTTAGCCAAGTCATCCCATTGGATCGACGTAGCTTGTTCGAGCTGCTGGATATTATATTGAGAAATCCGAATCTCCTCAGGACAAGCCTGCAACCTTTTTATATCGGCTTTCATGGTAGCATGTACTTCGGTGACTTGTGCGCTTAAGCTCGCCAATTCATCGGTGAGAACCTGGCTCTGACTTCTCAGATCATCTCGCTCTTCTGTCATTTTAAGCATCAACAATTCGTCCTCCGTTTTCCTTGATTCTATATAACTGCTGATGGTAGATGCAAGCTCTCTGACTTCATCTTGAACCGTTCGCAAAAGGCCTGACGAAACATTCGTGCTCGAGATTTCTCCGGTGGATGGGTCTCTCAAAGGCATGAGCGACTGCGACAAAGCCTCCTGTTGCTTGACCAAGTTCCCGACTTGCTGAGTTAGGTGGTTCTGTACTTTGAGCATACCGCCCGACCGAGAACCCAGGGCCTTTTCCAGTTTCTCTATCCTCGCATCGAGTTGAGGTAAACGTTGCTCGAATTGCTTTGTTAGCAGCTTCATCCTATCTATCATCTGTGCTGCGCCGGGGTACATTTCTTGCATAGCTTGCGCCATACTCCTAACTAGAGGCCCGGTTGACAGGTTGTTGTAGCGCATCTCAAGCGAATGTAGGCCTACTCTAACACTCTCCAAGGTCTGTTCTGTGGTATGCAGTGCTGTCTCAAGTGCTGTAAATTGCCCATCCGAGTTTGACTTGTCTTGGTTGAGAACAGTCTTGAGCCCGTCACAGAGTTGGCTGTTCTTACTTTTGAGCGTGGAAATATCCACCTTGCTTTGCTCCAGGTGAACTTTGAGCTCTTCCATCTCAGACATCGCAAGATCATCTTTCATCGCCTGTAATTCCTGAAGTTTGTCCAGCCGCTCGGTAAGGCTATAATAATTAGTGTCTTGAATCTGTTGGAGCTGGATTTTGTCGCCGAGTGCCGAGCCCTCTGCAAGCCTGTTCTCCAAGGATTCCAAATGAGAATCATAGCGTGTCGTTTGGTCCACGAGAAAGCTGTTGAACTTGTCGTCATAGTCACCACGCAGATCTTCCAGCAAGTCCCGATACTCTTGCATGTCTCGTTTGTTCTTGGTTTGAAGAGACTCCAGTTCAGCGCCCATTCCTGAGATCGAGAGGAATATTTTATCGATCTGCTCTTTCTGAGGCGATGAATCTGATCTTTTGTTCAAATCTGATCTGAGTTGCGCAATGCGCTCACTTGTTTCCGTGTTGTGATTTGCATGTCTCTTTAACGTGCTTGCATGATCCGAAGAAGCTTTCTCCGTCCGGGCCACGCGGTCCTGGAGCTCTTTTAATTTGTGCTCTAAAGTCACATTATAGTCCCGCAGTTTGGTGATCTCAGCCCTGGCGCTGCCCAAATCGCCTCTTGGGGTCTGAACTTCGCGCTGCAAGTGGTCAGTCTGCTCAGATCTACTAGAATCGAAGAGGGACGAGCCGAGTGTGAGCCGCAAAGCATTTTCGTGCTCTTGGTACGTAGCGTTATGCTTCTTGAGGGTCTCCTCGACACGTATGAGCTCCGCGTCCTCATCTGCTTGAGATTTTTGGAAGAAAGCTGCAGTGGATGGAAAAGTGTTATAGCTTCTGGCTTTTGTGCATAACGTCGCGGTAGCCTCCTTTCTTTTCTGTAGTCGGTCTCTCTCCGACTTGCTATTGGCAGCGAGGATTGCGGCTTGGACCAGGTCGGAGACACCGCGGATTAGGTGGTCAGAATTGGAATTACCCCGTTCAGTAGCCGAGTGCGTGCTTGTTGGCTGTGCACTGAGTCGCGAGTGCGTTTCGGACAATGTGCGGGCAGCGGTTGGTCTGAACGGGCGAGCCAGGCGGGGGTCGCGTGAAGTTGTGATCTCTGGTTCCATGGCAATTTGTCAAATGTTTGGGGAAGAGCTGCCGAGTGATCTTGGTAAGCCGGGGGCCTTTTCATTCGATGTAATCCATGAGTGGGGTAGAATGGGGGAATGGGGAATTGAGGAAAGAGCGATCATTGAGAGTGAACATCACATTGGGAGATTTCAAGGAAGTTGTACAGACAAAACCAGAAAAGGTACGGAGTAAATTGCTTATCTACTTACGTTCATGGATCCTGGTGCCCTGTATACCAGTTGTCATGGATGCGATAAACAAGACAACAAGGCGGGGCAGCGAGTAGAGGAAACGACGCGTGAAGCAGTCGAGACTGACCCAGTGAATGGTTGGGATCACAGGCCCATCATTCACCTTGAAGTTGGAAGTCCGCAGAGCCATCTCCTGTCGGCCGCCACCAAATCGCAGAGGCTCGGCCCCGACGCGATCGACAGTTTCTGCCGGGCGGTGAGATGGGCGGTATCCCATCGGCCTGGCCGATTCTGCCCAGCGCAGCTCTTCTCGTTCAGTCTGCATTTCCGCAACGCCTGCAGACCAGTTTTGGCTGGTACATCGAATTGACTAGCTACTTGTCACTCATCCACAGGAAGAACTTTTCGTGTCTGCAAGTAGTTGCGATGGCTGCCGTGAGTGGACACCGAGCACCTGCTCTAATCCAAGTTATCTTCCTTCCCATTGCTGACTGCCGACAGCCAATTTCTACCGTTGCGGAGACCAAAGAGCTCCGGGGTTTGAACCTCATTGCTGCTCATTCGCATATTCGAGGCCTCGGTGTTGATGTCGACTCTTTGCAGCCCAGAGCCTCCTCCCAGGGTCTTGTGGGTCAGGAAAAGGCCCGCAAGGCCGCCGCTGTCATCCTGCAGATGGTGAAGGAAGGTAAAATTGCTGGTCGGGCTGTGTTGATCGCAGGGCCTCCCAGCACGGGTAAAACAGCCATCGCCATGGGAATGGCTCAATCTCTTGGACCGGATGTTCCCTTCACTATGCTCGCTTCTTCCGAAATCTTCTCCATGGAGATGTCTAAGACGGAGGCTCTCACGCAAGCTTTCCGGAAGTCTATTGGGGTTCGCATCAAGGAGGAAAGCGAAATCATTGAGGGTGAAGTCGTGGAGATCCAAATCGATAGAAGTGTGACCGGTGTAAGTAGATCTCTCACAAACCGTGATTCATGACTTCATCTAGCACTCTTTTCCACCTCATCTACCACTCATGCCGACCTCATCTGATTCAATGCAACATGTCGATGCTGACTTGTCCAGGGAAACAAACAAGGAAAGCTCACAATCAAGACGACGGATATGGAGACAATCTATGATATGGGAACGAAGATGATTGACTCGATGACCAAGGAGAGAGTGATGGCAGGAGACATCATTTCTATCGACAAGTCGTCCGGCAAAATCACCAAGTTAGGACGTTCTTACGCACGCTCCCGGGATTATGATGCCATGGGCGCCGACACCAAATTTGTGCAATGTCCTGAAGGTGAGCTTCAGGTTCGCAAGGAGATCGTACACACTGTTAGCCTGCACGAAATCGACGTCATCAATTCGCGGTCACAGGGTTTCTTGGCCCTCTTTTCGGGTGATACGGGCGAGATCCGGAGTGAGGTCAGGGATCAGATCAACACCAAGGTGGCTGAGTGGAAGGAAGAAGGCAAGGCCGAGATTATTCCCGGTGTTCTGTTCATCGATGAGGTGCATATGCTGGATATCGAATGTTTCTCGTACATCAACCGTGCTCTGGAGGCGGAATTGGCACCCATTGTTATTATGGCCAGCAACCGTGGCCACTCCCGGATCCGCGGCACTACCTACAGCTCTCCGCACGGATTGCCTTTGGACTTCCTTGACCGGGTGGTCATTGTCAGCACACAGCCTTACTCTGCGGACGAGATCAGACAGATCTTGGCTATTCGGGCACAGGAAGAGGAGATCGATCTCTCACCCGATGCCTTGGCACTTTTGACGAAAATCGGCCAAGAATCGAATCTGCGATACGCTAGCAACATCATCACTACATCTCATTTGCTCAGCCAGAAGCGCAAGGCGAAGGAAGTTAGCATTGATGACGTGCAGCGCAGCTATCGCCTGTTCTACGACCCTGCTCGGAGTGTCAAGTTTGTCAACGCGTATGAGCAGCGGTTTATTGGTGATCAAGGTGCAGTGAGCTTCACTGCCCCCACAAATGGCGATGCCATGGAACTGTCATAGAGTTGATTTCATACGGACGTTCTGGAGTTATGCAAAGACGGCCATGCACGGATCTGTTTTTCAGTGATCAGATGTCGCAGATAGTCAAGGAGTAATCCAGCCACTCCCTCGTCTACTTGACTCGATCTGTTTGTTGTTTTCACATCAATTGCTTGATGTATGATATTGCCGGCGCTTTTGAGAAGTCAATGCATGGGCACTTTGATTTTAGGGTCAGATTTTAGTCAAAAGTGAGCCTAGCCTAGGCTCGAATGATAATGATGAGATTAATATTCCCAAGAACCCGGGTATCCGACGATGCTAATTTACATATACAATTTTCGTCTCATGGCATAGACTGGTTACGCCAGCCTCAAACAAAGGTAGCTGTACTGTTCCATTGACTGCCGTCATTCGTTTGGCGAAACTCAACTCCTTCCCCGAAATATCCTGCATTCCTCCAAGACTCCATTGTAGGAGCATCGTACGGGCCGTGTATGATTCCACCGTCACGAGCATCGGACCACCGAAATTGCCACATCGCAGGGGATTCTTCCACGGAGTTGGAGGAGTCTGCAGACGGAGGATCAACCCAGTCCTCGCCGGTTTCGCGGCGGTACTGCCTTGTAAGGATCTCACGTTCAGTGTCATAGATTTCTGCCTGCCCTCTAGTCATGAGGATATCGGCAGCACCGGTGATCTCCTCAATAGCCCGCTTTCTGGCCACTTCCTTTGGATCGTCCTCTGTCATCTCCGCATCCTCAGGTGCAGCGTCACTCTGCTTTTTGCGGTTTTTATTGCGATTAGTCTGCCATTTTTGCTTCTTTTGAGCGCCCTTGCCTATTCTTGCCAGAGCCTCTAAGATCGTTTCGCCTCGTTCCATATGGGTGATTAGAGTTCTCAAGACATCCGCAGTGAGTACACTATCGTCTTTGCGCTCTTTCTCCTTGCGCTCTTCCTCCCGCCTCTCTGCAGCTTCCTTGGCGCGTCGGATGTCCTTCTTAGAGACCCCCTGCAGCCACGTGTCGTAGACCGCATCGGGATCTGCTGCCTTTCGGACATAGTTTCCTTGGTCATCGAAGCGACCTTCTTCTTGTTCGGTGCGCATGTTGAAAGCGTCTAGGAGTGGTGCATGCTTCTTCTTCGCACCCGCACCCAGTTCCTCATCCAGCTCCTCGTCGGGTCTGGCGCGCTCTTCATCCCCGACCTCGCTTTCACTTTCGTCCTCCTCATCCTCGATTGTGTCAGCCCCCTTGGTAAAATCTGCGTGGACCGTCCCGCCACTCTTGGACGAGGCAACCTGGCCTTCTATCTCGTCGTCCCGCAGGAACCGGACGTTCTTCTTGTTTTTGCGCATGGCTTCATCGGCATCGATATCCTCGGCGCCAAAGTCCTCCTGCAGTTCAGCAAACATGTCATCGTCCTCAGCATCATGTTTCTCTCGGCTTGCTTTTGGCTTGGCCTCAATGCGTGCTGAGAAGCCCTCATTTTCACTGTCGGAGTCGTAACCGTCTAAGTTGACGGCTTTGCGGCGGACTTGTTGGCCTCGGCGTCCGATTTCGTCGGCATCTAGGACTGCATCCTCTTCTAGTGCATCGGGAGCAAGAGCAGAGGGGTTCCGTAGATCAAAGCGAGGCTTCTTGGTCGATGAGCCGTCCTCATCCTCGTGGTGTGTACGGGTGAAGTCTTCACCTGCCCGCTTGGGGCGGGGCTGAGAGGCTGACATAGAAAGGCGTGGAGGAAATCACGGATCGCGGTATACTGTCGACTCTATATTTTGTTTCAAATGAGCCAGAAGGTCGGGACGAATAGAGGTAGGAATCAAAACATTTTGAAGCTGCACTGCGTTGTCTGGGGTCGGGACGGAAAATCAAGCGGAGCCGCGCCATTTGCGTCACCGCAGGCGATCCGATTGATCGGCCGAACGTACCTGAACTCCCGTCACTCTCTCTCTTTACAACTGCTCGAGCTCTGTTGCTACACCTCAGTACTTCTTGACCTCTCTTCCCTTGCTCGTCACCTTCGACCATATCACCCAACACAAGGCGTCACTGAGTCTTGTTCCGAATACTCATATCTCTTCCAGCTCCTAATCATCGCCATAGCTAGCTCCCGTTGGTCATGGTGGGTTCCCCGCTCTCACGCCGTCAGTCACTCAGGTATCCCGTACTAATCAGGAGCAGTTTCAGTCCGGCTACTGGGAGGACGATCCGATGGACGGGGTGCTTGGCTCCAGCATGCTTCGTCGTGGAGGGACCGCCCGCCGGTTCGATGAATATTACCGATGCTACCCTGTTGCGATGATGCCCGGTCCAGAGAGAGAAAATGTCAACCACGGCGGCAAGGTCATCATGCCGCCTAGCGCCTTGGACAAGCTGACGCGTCTGCATATCACGTATCCGATGTTGTTTGAGCTTCACAATGGCGCTAGGGAAAGAATGACCCATGCAGGTGTCTTGGAGTTCATTGCGGAGGAGGGGAAGATATACCTGCCATTCTGGGTAGGTTCCTGCCACAACCCATACATGGTCGCGAAGCTGATAGTTGGTGCTATAGTTGATGCAAACACTTCTGCTGGAGCCTGGCGATCTAGTTCAGGTCAAATCCACCGATCTACCACCGGGCCAGTTCATCAAGCTGCAGGCTCAGTCAACCAGTTTCCTCGACATCAGTGATCCCAAGGCCGTGTTGGAGAATGCCTTCCGAAATTTCTCTTGCCTGACCAAGGGGGATGTCTTCACATTCGCCTACAACGACCAGGTATACGAGATGGCGGTTTTAGAAACCAAGCCATCTGGCCAGAGCAACGCTATTTCAGTTCTCGAGACCGACCTTGAAGTCGACTTTGCGCCTCCGGTGGGCTACGAGGAGCCGCAACGTCCGAGTGGAACCAGTACGCCTCGCAGCGGAGTGAGCGGCAAGTTGCCGTCCGGTGGCCTACTGCACCCCCATGGCACCATGGCACAGTCGATCAACTATGCTGCTATCGCCCCCGAGTCAACCGACGCCGCTGCCGGGGCCAGAGCTGTGTCGTCAAATTTCCTTGTCGGTGGACAGCGTTTGAACGCTAAGAAAGGCAGTAAAACCCCCACACCCAAACCATCCACTCCCACACCCGGTGCCACCAACCCTCAGCATCCTCCTCCGGTCAGGAGAACAAACGGGCCGCAGCCTCTTCGACTGCCTCCGAATCAGCTGTTCTTTGGATACGCAATCAAGCCCGTGAAGAAGCGTGATGAGACCGGGCAGGTTGTTGAAGGAGACAAGCCCCGATTCCAGGGATCAGGGCAAACGTTGAGAGGCAAGAAGAAGGACGCCAGTGGCTCTGCTACGCCGACATAGTCGAGAACAGCGAGCAATTCGAAACGGTGCAACGCAGGTCCGGCGATGTCTTACGGGCCTTGAGATACAAGCCCTTGTGCAAGCCCTAGGTTCGGTACTTTCCTGGGCTTGAATGACAAACTCATGAGTGATAGACTGAGGCATGGGACAAAAGCAGGACGAAATTAGAGCATAGCGAGGACTGGCGTTTAGGTTTAGCTTTCGTACCAATTATGATCGGGGGGTTTTCTCGTGTTATTGCTTGTGCCCAGGTGCGAGGCATGCATCCCTTCTGACTAGTGAGTAATCATAAAACCCGCATCGCCACCATGTCAAAGACTATCCACTCTTGAGGTGATGCTCGAGTCTATTGCTTATGAGCCGAAAATTTACCAGTCACAAATATTCCCTCAAGTGTCGATAAACCGGGTGATGGTATAATCAAGGATTCCAGAGTCTGGCTAGCGCAAATCCGTATTCTTCCAATTTATATCGAACAAATTTCCCGATTGTTAATGTTATTTTCTCCCCGATTTCTTGCCTCGGTTCTATAGGATCTACCAAATCCTCCGTTCTACACAAAAACATTTGATCCTCCCTCTCTCCCACCCTCACTCTTCATACTCTCACTCTTCATATTCTCACTCTTCAACCGCGGAAATACAATTCCTAAAGAGGACACCACTACAGCAATGGAAACAATGCCCTCCACCACCTCCACCACCATCGCATCAACCCCTCCCCCCAACCCGCTCAAAGCCTTCACCCAACTCTCCCCCTCCGTCTACATCCACCGTCCAGCCAACGCCACCATCAACCTCAAACCCCCAGAGCAAATCATAATCCTCGCCTTCTGGATGAACGCGCACCCGCGCACCCTCACCAAATACCTAACGACCTATCTGGACCTCTACCCGACCGCCACGATCCTATGTACTCTCTCGACCTCCCTGGACTTTCTGGTGCACTTCACCGCCCGCACGCAGCACGCGCGCCAGCAACCCGCCGTCGCCGCTCTCCGGGCCGCCGCCGCCGCCGCCGACGCAAGCCCAAGCTCCTCCTCCGCCCACCCGCGCGTCTACATCCACATGTTCTCGAACGGCGGCACCTTCGCCGTCGCCAATCTGCTCGAGGCCTACCGGGCCGCCACGGGCCGCCCGCTGGCCGTCGAGGCCATGCTCTACGACAGCGCCCCGGGCACGTCGACCTTCCGCGGCGGCATGCGCGCGCTGGCCGTCGGCTTGCCGACCCACCCGGTGCTGCGGCTGCTGGGGACGCTGGCGCTCGCGGGGATCTTGGGGTGGTCGATGTTGCTGGCGCGGGTGTGGCCGCGCGCTGATGGGGTGATGGTCGGGCGGCGGGGGACGCTGGATGCGGGGTTGGTGGTGCGGGGAGGAAGAAAGGGAGGGTCCCGCACGGCGGAGGTGGGGACCGTGCCGCGGAGGTGTTATTTGTACTCCGAGGGGGATCGGGTGGTCGATGCGAGGGATGTTGAGAGGCATGCTGAGGAGGTGGAGAGGCGCGGGTGGGAGGTCGAGAGGGTCAAGTTTGATGGGTCGGCGCATGTGTCGCATATGAGGACTGATCCGGAGAGGTATTGGGGGGTCGTGAAGAAGTATTTGGGCGGGGTTTAGGGAAGGGGTTAGACTCCGGGTGTAGTAGCTTGCTGATGATAGTGCCTGTCAAGGCGGATGAGTGGGATGACCGGTATATATGTGTGTGTGTATAAGTATAGATACTTTTTAGTCAAAACTGTTCTATTCAAATTCGACCGCATCGCCGAGCGCTATGCATGCAAACGTTATGTACAAGAGCCCCCTTCCCAAGCAGGAGCCTCCCAATGATGCTCTGAACGCCTCCCTTTTTGTCTTTCAAATGACCTGAACTTTTTCCCTTCCGTTTTGGTTATTCGATCTCACCAAAAATCAAAGACTGACAGAGGTGCTTTTGATGCTGATAGTCTGAACCGTTTTCATCTACCGACCCTTCATCTCGGGGAACTCATCTTCCAACTTCAGTCGCGCAGTCACGTTCATACTCATCAGCTCCTGGATGAGGAGCTTGGCGGCGTACGGAATGGCCATCTTCACAACACTCCGAGAGGACTTGCACCGTTGACACCAGTTCAGATAACCCATGAAACCGCACTGCTCGCACACGTCGATTTCGTGTCGGTCGGACGAGATCATCAGTCGCTCCAGCAGCAGCTGACTGGTACCGTACGCAATCAGACAATCACGCTCCATCTCACCGAGACGGAGACCACCGTCACGGGAACGACCCTCCGTGGGCTGCCGGGTGAGAATGGCGCGCGGTCCGCGAGCACGCGAGTGCATCTTGTCCTGCACCATGTGCTTGAGTTTCTGGTAGTAGATGGGGCCAGTGAAGACGTAGAATGGCAGGGCCTCGCCCGTAATGCCAGAGGTAAGATAGTCTTTACCACCATAGCTGAAGCCGTGGTCAATCAGGATCTGAGACGCCTCCTGAACCGGAGTGCCGCCGAAGCAAGTGCCGTAGCCATGGTGGCCGGCCAGGACACCGGCTTTACCTGCAACAAGCTCCAACATCTTTCCGACTGTCATTCGAGAGGGGAAACCGTGAGGATTCATGATAATATCCGGGTTAATTCCTTGGTCGGTAAAGGGCATGTCGGCTTGGTCGGCGATAATACCCACGACACCCTTCTGTCCGTGACGGGAGGAGAACTTGTCACCGACTTCGGGACGACGTGTTTGTCGGGTTAAGACCTTGACCAGCTGGTTCTCGTTTTCGGTCACAGAAATCATGACCTTATCGATGTAAGCAGGATCGGGAAGCTTGTAGGTCATGGGAGTTGGCATATAAGAAACAGGCCGGCCAGGGTCAGAGCTGGCGAACCCGGAGGACATCGATTGGTCGGGCGTGGACTTATTGATGTAGACTTCACCGGCGTTAACCTGCTCACCTACAGCAGCCAGACCATCGCTTTCGAGGAGGGCGTGTTTCCTAATCGGCGCATCGTTCTCGTACTGCGGTCCACTCAAGCGGTCCTTGGTGCCGTTCGAGTAACTCTTCAAATTGGTGACGTATTTTTTGAACACCTGACACCTTCCGAATCCACGATCCACAGATCCCTTGTTCAACACGAGGGCATCCTCAATATCGTATCCTGAGTAACTCATGACCGCAACGGTGGCATTCTGCCCAGCGGGTAGTTGATCGTACTTGACCAGCTCGATCGTGCGGGACTTGACCATCGGCTTCTGCGGGTAGACCATGAGATATAAGATGGAATCAATCCGCAAGAATTGATTCGAAGCAATCGCACCGATTGCTTGTTTACCCATGGCACATTGATAAGTGTTACGGGGCGACTGGTTGTGGTGGGGATACGGGATCAGACCGGCGACAGCTCCAAGAACAGTAAATGGCTCAATCTCCAGGTGGGTCGTTGTTTCAGTGATATCCTTCTCGTAGATAGCGATCAATGAATCGTTCTCCTCGTTCACATCCAGGTATTCCACCAATCCCTGCGCAAGGAAGTCGTCGAAAGCCATGGTACCATCCCGCAGCTTCTCAAGATGATGGGCCTTCACGCGAGATTTGCCGTTGTCAACAATAACAAGCGGTCTGCAAATTCTTCCGTCATCTGTGGCTACGTGGACAGCCCGCTGGTGGTGGTTGATGTAAATGCTGACAAACTCGGAGATTCGACCCATTCGACGGAGTCTTCGGAAAGCATTGAGGAAGAATTTCGGTCGTCGAGTGAGTGCCATGGGAGTACCGTTGATTGAGATCGTGTAGCAGCCCGGGCCATAAAGCTCCTTTCCACCGACCGTTGAAATGTCTTCAGCACCGAGCATGAAGATCAAGTTCCGGATAGGGCCCTCCTCGTCATTCGTTGTAATATGGGTCATGAGTGCCAAGTTCTTCACGAGACCACAAGCCTCACCCTCGGGAGTATCGGCTGGACAGAGCATACCGAAGTTGGACGGTTGCAGTGCTCTGGGACCACTGACCTTTCTGGTCTTTTCGAACTGACTGCTGATACGCGTCATCATACCCAGGGCCGCAAGATAACTCAAACGACTTAGCACATGTGTCACACCTGCACGTTCCATGCGGAAACGTTTCAAACTCCAGTTTCCGGTGGAAATAGCGCGGTTCATTCCTTGAGTAATGTGGTTGCTGTGCATCGTAATCACGCTATAGGCATCAAAGGCCTCAGCACGATTCCGCTTGTTCAGCACTTTGTCGATGTTCATTTTGATATCGAAACAAAACTTCTTGAACAGGTCCTCGAAAAGCAGAGCCAACAGCTGGCCAGCCAGTTCCAACCGCTTGTTTCCGAGGTAGTCGCGATCGTCGACCAAAGTGGCATCATTCTTGGCCATGAGAACACGACGAGCCATATGGGCGACATAGATAGCCTTAGGTCGGAAATCCATGTTCTTGACTTCGATATGAGAGATGATAACGGAAGCAATGGCTTCCACAGCCTCTTGCACGTGAGTTCGGCGATATGTGGATTGCTTGCGATTGATCTTGATCCGTGCGCCAATCCAGTCTAGAGCCTGCTGCTGGGTATAGATACCAAGCTTGATCGCCTCTTCGAAATTGATCGCAAAATCTTCCTGATAGACCTTATCGACACCGGCGACGAGCAAGAGCATTTCTTTGTCGGTGTGGATACCCATGGCCTTGAGCAGGATCACAATGGGGATGTCCTCGCTGAGAACGTTGTGTTTCACGTAAAGTTTGTCCTTCTTCAACACGATATAACTTTTGGATTTACGTTCGTTGGAAGAACTGCACAAACAAATTAGTACCAGTGCCCGCGAATGGAATGGGAAAAGACGGCAGAGTGTTACCTAGTGACTGAGGCCTGGACAATCTCTTTCTTGGGATCCGTCTCGACGATGATTCTGTTTTTGCTCAACTGCTCCTGAACGAGGATGACCTTCTCTGTACCATTGACGATGAAGTAGCCACCAGGGTCAAGAGGGCACTCATTCAAAACGGACATCTCCGCTGGGGTCTTGTTCGCCAACGCGCACTTCGAACTCCGAAGCATGACCGGCATTCTTCCAATAGCCACACCTTTCCTCATAACCCTTTGGCGTCCACGAACATACTCGAAGTCGACCTGAATGGGCGCCGCGTAGGTTGTGTCACGAAGGCGACATTCGTGCGGGGCCACAGTGGACTCCGAGAAATCGGCCCGGACATCTTGCGGCTCGTCTGCACGTCGCGGGAACCCCAGGTAGATGTTGGTAAACTTTATGTAGAAGTTGTGGTCGACATCGCTGCGGATTGTGGAGCTGGATTCGACGATCTTCTTCAATTGGACCTCGACCAGGTAGTTGTACGAGTCGATGTGCTGCTTCACCAGACCTTTGACCTTGAGGAATGCTGGCAACAGGTTCCATTTATCCTTGGCAGTGTTGATCGGATCCGTTAGGCCCTTGTTGTAGTAGAACGGCTCGAGAAGAGCGTCGAAGGGATCTCGGTGGCGGTACGAAGTGTGAGAATGCTCCTCATCGGAAGCTTGCGGCTGTTCCTCGACGACGGGGGATGGCTCTTCTGGAGGCGGAGCAGGCTTGGATTGAGAGGCGCGTCTGCGTTTGTGAGCATCGGTGGTTCCTGGCCTGGAAGAGGCAGCGGCCTAAATCGTCGCATAAGGTTAATGAGGGCGGCGAGAGACGGCGCGGACATCTTTCTTTCCAACTCCAACTTACCTCTCCAGATTGCGTGGACCGCAAGTTGGCCGCAGAAATCGGCGCTCTCCTACGAGGAGGCATTGCTGATCAGAGCTTGCGGGTCTTGCTGCACGTCGATCAAGGGTGGTGAAGAGCGGGCGTCACGGCATTCTAGATTGACGGCACAATTTCTTCTTTATCAGCGAGGGGATTATCCGAACTATTTTCCATTCGGCAGAGGGGCAAGTTACATAATCTGAAGCTATCCTCATACGGTTAGACTCTAATCTGGCTTACAAATGCCCGTGCTAGCCCCAAACCAGAATGCCATTCGGCCCCGCCCGCTGTTTTACCTTATTGCCGGCTCAACTTAACGCTTAGACCCACCACTTGAATCTGCCGTCGGTATCATCTGTCACAATTTGTGCACAGGTCAAGTTATTCCGGCGACAATCGCTGATCAAGGCATAGAGCGGGTAGTCCGGCGAAGAATGTTCAGGAGGGGCTGCGAGCCCACAGCCTTGGACTTGAACGCTTCTTCGATCTCGTCCAGCGATCTGCCTTTGGTCTCTGGCATCATGACTGCACATACAAAGGTCGTGACAAGTGTGCATCCCGCGAATAGGAAGTATGCACCAAAGCTGCTTCTTGAAAGGAGGATTGGTGTAGCAAGTGCTACTAGGAAGTTGGCTGCCCAGTTGCTCCCGTGAGCTAAGCTAGTTGCTGAGGCGCGAGTCCTTTGTGGCTGTATCTCTGCTGCATAGATTTTGATGCCGACAGCCCAGCTCAAAGAGTATATCACGGCAAATATGTAGATGCTGACAATGACCACCCATCGCCCCGCTCCACTTGAGCTGTGAACTGCCTTGCTTGCGTATAGAGCTCCTATCAGAAGCATCGTGATGCTAAGGCCGATGCCACCGTAAATGGTACTGTGTCGACGA